TCCGGTTGTTCCATCTTCAGGTCGGATACAACAGCGACGGCACTATCGTAGCAGCGGACATCACCTACTACAGCAACGGAGGATGTACTCTGGACGAATCGCCGTTCGTAAGTTAACACAGAGAAAGTCTGCAGCACATCGTGTAGACCTTGTATGTCACGGTGTGAAACGAACTGCGTTTAGCAGGATCGTAACGTGTTGTATGCTTGAAACTTCAGCTAAACAAGCTAAACTTTAAAGTACTGCAAGATTAGAATCAAATTTAAATTGTTTAATGTAACACAGATATACTGTAGCTTCACCTTTAAATATTTAGATTTTTACAACATTTTCCAACATTAGCTTTGATATTTGCTATTCAAATAGTATATATATAGATCTATATATATTTGTTTTTTAGGTTTAATATTAATGATGTACAGTTAAATAATTTTACTATATGTATCTGTTAAATTTTAACATTTTGTCATCAGCATTTGTAGACTAGAATCAAGAAACTGAATTTAAAACCCACCGGTGGCTTTGAAAGGCATGTTTTCTTTTTTAAAAAATCACCAAAATGACACCCTTTGTCATACCAAGAAACCTTAAAAACAGAAAGAATCACTGGGTAAAAAAATTGCTCAGTGTTCAGAAGGTTAATAGAAGAAAAAACAAAAACTATTTTTTTTAAATAAGAAATGTTGGCGTCAGACTCTGGCTGCTGTGTTTTCCAGATCATGGACAAAGCAATCCTCCACATGGACAACGGCTACAAAATCCCCAACTTGAGAGGCCGTGGCATGGTGTGTAAAACCTACCTGCCCTCCTACACGGCCTTCCGGGGCTTCGGCGGTCCTCAGGGCCTCACGGTGATCGAGAGCGTCCTGCACGAGGTGGCGGTTCGCTGTGGCCTGCCTCCTGAAAAGGTCAGATGTGGACCTGGGGCTTCTGTTCTCCAACGGGGTGCAAATAACGATATCAGTTAGTGAAGAAAGTCGGCGTGAGTTCCTCTGTGACTGCAAT